TCCATAGATAATGAGATCTAGATCCTCCTCCATAGATAATGAGATCTAGATCCTCCTCCATAGATAATTAGATCTAGATCCTCCTCCTCTCACCTATTCATAGATAGTTAAATGTAGATCCTCCTCCTCTCACCTATTCATAGATAGTTAAATGTAGATCCTCCTCCTCTCACCTATTCATAGATAATTAAATGTAGATCCTCCTCATTCATACCTTTTCAGGTTAGCAGCCTTTATCAGCATTTATCCATCAGGCTGTGTTAGAGCAGCCGCCAGTGTTGAACAGGAAGCTGCAGTATTAGCCACGCCCACTAAGTAACCAGCCAATGGTCTCTTTTCGTCAAAATCTGCAGAATGCCGACATCATTATTTATTAAGTCGTTTATAAGCTTAACACTAATGAATCATTTAAAGAACAGGGTCTTTTTTTTAACTTTGCAGGATTTTCACTAAATGACTCTAAACTAATGAATCCTGAACTTCTCATGGCCTCCATCTATTTGATCTATTTCTGTTTTATTGACACCGTATCAGGGGGCGGACCCCGCCGCACGGAGAAGCCTGGTCTCTGATGCCTTCAGACGGTAACTGGGCTTTGTTGATGTTTGTGCAGCAGAAGAAGGCGAGGAGTCTGGAGGAACCCGGAGGAGGATTCCCAAACTGAAGATCCCTGCAAAGATCTGGAACAACCGCAAAGCCAAGAACCAGGATGGAGGTGAGCAGCAGCTGCTGCTGCAGGTGGAGGCGTCTCCTCTGCCTCCATCTCTATTCATTCACTGGATACCTGCTCATTAGTACATGGTGCTGTGAAGCCACCGGCCGCCATATTGGTACTCCCTCGTTAGATGGTCAGGATGTAAACAATCTGCGCTGCAGCATCGAACAACCAGGATGTTCTCATTTTCAGAGACTTAAGACTTTTACAATAAAGATAAATTCATCGCTTTGACACAGACTGACTGTTTCATAGCATTAGTAGATTAATTTAACTTAGAATTAATAAATATTTCCATCTCATTGTAGAGCCATTATAAAGTCAATGAAGTCTATAAATCAGGTAAAATAACCAAATCAAAACACTGCAGATTTGCACCATGTAAATATTAGATCATTTTTTTGCTCCATGTTTTTTCTCCCACTGTTTCCATTTGATCACTGCTGAACTTGAAGGAATGGAAATGTTCTGAGAGCTGCAATAAACGAAATGTTGTTTTCTAAACATTCTGTTTACAAAATGAAAATAAATGTTATTTAAGTCTAAGTCATGATCTTGGCACTGATGACTGGATTATTAGTTCCTTCCATCCACCTGCCTCGCTCCTCCAGGTGTTCATTAGTTCCTTCCATCCACCTGCCTCGCTCCTCCAGGTGTTCATTAGTTCCTTCCATCCACCTGCCTCGCTCCTCCAGGTGTTCATTAGTTCCTTCCATCCACCTGCCTCGCTCCTCCAGGTGTTCATTACCTTTCATCAGATGTTCCAGCTTTTACTTAAACTGTTTGCTCCCAGCCATCAGGGCCAGATTATTGGAGCCTTGGTTGAGAGTTCTCCAGCGTACCCAGTTTGTTACACTGATAACCTGATCCTGACTAGTTTCTGCTGACGGACCCATGAGCCCGGCTGCCCCGTTCTGATCTGTTTGCCTGACCCGTCTTCTTCCTGCTGGATTCCGTCTATAATGAACTTGGATCTGTCACCGGACCCCGGCTTGGATTTCCCTTCGGTTCCCTTTTCTGATCTCTGATCTTCTGTCCTGGACCTCTGCTTCCTCTTTGACACCGGCTTTGTATTCGCCTTCCGGATATTTAGGCTCGTCAGGCGGCTCTGCAGCCATCTTGGCTCCTGGAACTCTCCAGGCGGCTCCCGCCGCATGCTGAGGAATATTATTCCACTTTTTCCTCTGGACTCAGACTGAATTTTAAAACCAGGTTAGTGACTCACATGCAGGTCATCGTTCCTCGTCAGAGTTACATGGTCACTAACCTGAGTTTCTCCCTCCTCAGAGATTCCAGCCGTTTAGTCCTAGCTGACAAGACGCTGAGCAATTAAGAAACGCTTTTTATAAATCAATAATTCTGAGTCCAACGTTCTGAATCCCGACAATAAAATATTATACAAATCAATCACAGCAAAAATGTTCTATTAACAAAGTGTGTTAATAGATAATAATAATACTATAATCAGGTACTAAGAATATTTCACTCACTCTCTGATGATTCATCAGCACATTTAATATAAACGATGACATTTTTATGCTAATTCCATATTATATTTGATTTCTAGATTTTATATCAAGGCTGAATTACAGCGTTGCATGTCTGGTGATGCTAATGCAGATTGTGCATGCATGTATATAACCCAGAAAACTGCTGCTGCACACTTCGGCTTTTTTATGCCACAACTGAGAGTAGGGAGTACCAAGATGGCGGCTGGTGACTTCAGTTTTCCCAGCCTAGAGGCGATCCAGTGATTAAATAGGGTTCAGTGAGCTGAACCAACGGCTGATGAAAGGTGGAGAAGCTGCTTCTTCTTTCTCTGTGTGGTGTCTTCTGCAGAGGAGCAGCTGGACGGTGTGCAGCAGGAGGAGGAACAACACGAGGAGCAGCTGGATGAGGTCACCAGGAGGCTGATCTTCAGGGAGGAGGAGCTCTTCAGCCAGGACGCTCCCAGTGAGGAGGAAGAAGACCAGCTGCAGAAAGACTTTGAATCTCTGAGTGTGCAGATCTGGATGGCTGTCCATGACACCTTCTCCCCTTCAGCTCCCTCTGGGGAGGTGCTGAGGAATGCCGTGGACTCCATCCAGCAGCAGGAGAAGCAGGACCAGCGCTGGAGAGAGCGTCCGAAGGAGAAGGTCCCCGTTTGGAGGCCTCAGAGGTGGCTGAGTTCTCACCACAAGCTGCTGCAGAAGATGGTGGAGGTCCGACTGTCAGAGGCTGCAGAGAGCGACTCAGCAGACACCCAGCAGCTGTCCTCTGACGTCAAGAGGCAGGTGAGAACGCTCCGCTACCACGGCAACGCCCCCTGCTGTCCAGAGACCCGCCTTTTACAGCCTTAGACCCGTTCCAGGAAGTCCCAACAGAACCACTGGTTCTGAAACCACGTCCAGTCTGACCTGCCAACATGGCGGATCCACCGCAACAAGTCAGGAGACCAGCCGGGCGACCAGTCAGGCAATTAGTTGGGCGACCAGACGGGCAACCAGTCAGGCAACCAGTCAGGGACCAGTCAGGCGACTAGTCTGATGACTGAGGGAGTTTGTTGAGGACAGGAAGTCTGTCAGATCATGGCCATCTTGGTCAGGGGGGTGAAAGTTTCAGTTCAGAGGTAGAAGCCAGTCAGGGCGACCAGCCACACAACCAGTCGGGCAATCAGTCGGGCGACCAGCCAGGCCACAAGTCAGGCCACAAGTCAGGCAACCAGCCGGGTGATCAGCCAGGCGACCAGTCGGGGACCAGTCAGGAGACTAGTCGCCCTGACTGGTCCTGACTGGTCGCCCGGCTGGTCGCCCTGACTGGCTTCTACCTCTGAACTGAAACTTTCACCCCCCCTGACCAAGATGGCCATGATCTGATCTGATGGCGCCTGAACACCTCATGATGCATTGAAGGCTGCTGGTGATTGGACCTTCCTCCTGACTGGTTGCCTGGCTGATCTCCCAACTGATTGCCCGACCGGTCTCCTGACCGGTCACCAGTCAGCAGACCAGTCAGGCGACCAACTGGGCGACCAGTCAGGGCGACCAGTCAGGGACCAGTCATTAGACCAGTCGGGCATCAGTTGGGCGACCAGTCAGGCAACCAGCCAAGTGACCAGTCAGGGCAATCACCAGCAGCCTTCGATGCATCACGAGGCGTTCAGGTGCCGCTGTCACTGAGCCGCTCAGTGGGCCTCAGCTGAAGCCTTGGGGGCTTAAACCCTCACAGCAGGAAGCTTCTCTGACTCCGCCTCCTCTGGTCTTGTCAGGTGTGCCGTATGGGGAAGCGACTGAAGGAGGACCTCCTGATGGTGGCCAGGAAGGTGAAGGACTGTTACCCTGTGACCATGGACATCCTGAACGTCTACGGCGCCCTCTACCATCAGACCTTCTCTGCCCGGCTGGCTGCGCTGACGGCCGCCGGCCTGGACATCGACGACTGCAGCTACGTCCTGTTTTGGGTCAACCACTACTATCCTGAGTGAGTCTCTGCTGCAGGAACAAAGGGGCGGAGCTTCATCCGGCGCCACATCAGGAATGTGTCTGATATTCTTAGGTGCTCAGTGCTGACCTCTGCTGGTTGAAATTAGGATTTTAGACACTCCTCCATGTAGTGCTTTAATAAGAAGCATCCCCCACCATGATGCAGCCTCCACCCTGTTCTGAAAAAGCTGCTCGCTCCATAGAAGCAGAGCAGATGGCAGAACAACCGTTCTGGTAAAAGAAGGGTTTCATGCTGATGTTCTCCAGGTGTTCGGTTCCTCCTGTGTCTCTGATTGTTGCTTTGTCTTCTAGGTTGATCTAAACGCCTTTCTTCGTTTTTACCTTTGCTTTAATGTTTCTCAGCTTCACTATATTTGTGTTTATTAGTTGTCCTCCCTCAGCCTCCCTGCCTTGGTTCTGACCCAGCTGCTCCACTGGGCCTCTGTTCTGGCGCTCGGTCCGGGCAGCTGATGGTCCTGAACGCTTCAGAAGAAGCTCCTCAGTCAGACCTGATTCTGAGAAACAAACAGGATCTATGTGCTGCGGCTCTGAGTGGGAAAGATCCCAGTGGGTTAATAACAGGCGCATTCAGTCCTCTATCCAGTGCAGCTTTGTTTTCTTTCCTCTGAGTCATTCCTCTCTCTCTGCTTTCAGCCTTCCTGCTTCACAGACTCCATGTTTTTCTCTTCATAGGGAAGAAATTCAGTTGCTTCATTTCCTAAACTCATTAAAATGCAGAGAACGATCCGAACAGTTCAAGGCCGCATCCCCAAACACGACACGACCAAACCAGCAAGCGCTCTGCTAGAAAGTTCATGTCCAGAATCCACAATCAGTCCCCCCACCCCCCGGCCCTTTAGGGCCCCCGCTCTGCAGCAACAAGGCTTTCTCTGTTAAACCCACATCCAAGCAGCTGATGCAGCTGCAGGGATGCATGTAGAGCTGCAGGGATGCATGTAGAGCTGCAGGGATGCATGTAG